TGTGACTCTACCTCAAAACAGCGGGGACTAGAAAACCCAGAACTGTGTGGGTGATTCAACCCTGCTGAGAGACTTTCCTTCGTGTTTTTAATGTGATAGTTATAATTTAAGCCCCATGTGATTGGGTGGCCAGCACTAAGTTGCACAAGAAAGGGATTATTCAGAGGTTTATCAGAACAGAGGTATAAGAAAATGCAATGAAAGTAGCCTGCCTGCCTGCTTTCCCCTTTTTTCTTCCCTTTCTTCCTGGGAGTGCCCAGGGAAGGGACCCACCTGCCTTTTGTGGACCTGCTCGAAGCAAGTGTTTTAGTTCATTTTTCATCAGGCTGAAGCAAACCAGCTCCTCTGCCATGATATATTTAGACCCTGTCCCGGCATACCCCATCCCTTTTTTTTGGGTGCACAATGTTTTTTTCCAGAAAGAGGACACAGAAAGCTTCTCTTTGATTTCCTGCATGTTGTGCCACCACAGAGAAACAATGTGCAAAAAGATAGAAGCCCATTAGGCAGCAAGTTGCAGTACTGGGTCCTGTCCCCCTGCTTTGTTTCTCCTGTTACTTTATGTAGCTGGAACCAGCTCTGGGCAAGCTGGATGTTTTGAATACCTAGAAAAAATATTTTAACACATTTGGAAAACAAACTGGCCTGCTACAGCTCTCACTGCACTGCTGAAGCTGCCTGAAGTCAGACTAGGGCTAAATAGAAAATGGGCAGGATGATGAAGAAAATGTTGCAGGGTAGAGATAAGAGGTAGAAACAGAAATAAACAAGTTAAGTGTATGTGTGGAGAAAAGATTTCCAACTGTGGTGGTTCTTACAGACAGATACCTGCCAGGCATGCTGCAGATATCATCCACAGACATCCAGGTTTCTTCAGTATGAAAATCAGGGTGCAGAAATATTGTGCAACCAGATCTCACGCTGAAGTGGGGCTGGGATATGATCGGGAACGTAGTAATTATTTCTAGGTTGTGTAATACAGATGCAGCCAGAGGGGCTGTGTTAGCAAGCCTGTGCTGTGTAAGTTATCACCAAGTAATTTCAGGATTGTCAACTGCACACTGAAAGGAAGTCAGGGCTGATAATCCTTTATATATTCTGTGATTACTTTCAAAAAATGTACTGGGTGTTCTATAAATGTTGCACAGCTCTAGTGCTGCAGAGTTAACCAAACAAGCACTGACCAAATGCATGGACTCTCCAGTGCATCCCTGCCTTCTATTCTCTCACCAAAGACCTACACCACATAACCAGAGGAAGACAGACATGGCTTCTTCCAAACTCAGCTAGTGCTGCTCCCAGAGTTAGCTACTGCTTTTTATGGGAAACTGATATTACTATTTAATTTATTGAGAATTAAAATACAGGAACTCCCACTGCTGATGGTCAGCTGTGGTCTACTAGGCTGAGCCTACCAGCACATTCTGGTCTTGCTGTATGGCTTCGTTCCTCTTTCTCCTTGGTACTATGCAAGAGAGTATTTTGCCATGCTTGGGAAGTTCTGAGAAATACTATTGGTACAGTATACAATCAGTAGTAATAGCAGGCAAAAGACTGGGACACCAACATTCAATTCAAGCCAGTACGTTCAATATCTTTACTTCCATTTCTTCCCCTTTCCTGTTGCTGCACAATTGCACTTTCCCCCTTTGCTTTGTGCCTTCCCCATTTCTGATTTTGTCTCGTCACTTAAGAATTGCTTCAGTGTTCTTCAACTTAAGAATTACTTCAGTGTTCTCCAACACGCAGAGGGACAGATGCGTAGCTACATCATTTATTGACTAATGACTGCAGCAGAGCAGTACTTTTCCAATTTGATAGCATTTAGCACTTTCAGTTTGCAGAACACTTTCAGACTTTCTTCCCTGGGGAGGAGCTGACAGAACCCCTGACAAAGTCCAGTTGCTTCCTACCTGCAGGAAACCACCCTGATATTGTTATGTCCAAATAAAGCATAAACCCCTTTGGGTCCTTGCTTATCACTTAAAAAAAATAAATCAGCATTTGACAGCTGCACTGGAGCTGCACAGATGACCAGCACTTTACAGCATGTGTAGAGAACTAAGCCTAGGGTTCTCTCTGTAGGCAAAGCAAGAGTGACAGAGTTAAGAATTAGTGAGATCTTAGTAACTCTAAATTTCTAACTTAACCTTTGGGAATTACTTAGCTGAAGGGACCAAAGAGAATCATTGTACTTGGAGCTCTTGTTGCCATTACACCTTGTTGCACCTGCACACAGAAATTCCTTCACGTCCCAGTAAAAGCAGAGCCTTTCATGCTGTCAGTAGGGATGACAAGTAGTGTATACTGCACCTGACGGCCCGCTCCCTCAGGAAAGTAACAATACAGATCTAGGCGTAGGAGAACACGTTAACTCCTTTGCTCCATTTAAAATGCTCCCTAGTAAATAGCAAGTAGAATCCATTAGGTAGGAAGTATGGCAGCAATGACTATAGCAATGAACTATGCAGAGTTTTTTCTCCCTTCCTTGTTGTCTATCCTCCGCCCAAGAGCTAAGTGATATTATTCCAGCAGACAAGCACACTCGTTCTCCTACTTCTCCCCAACCTTAGTTCTGAATTCTTCCCTAGTTTTTCTTTCACTCTTCATTCTTTTGTTCTGTTTTTGACTTTGTTACACCACTTTGCTGCTTTTTTTGTGTGCATTCCTATTCATTGCCCTCCCACGATTCTCCCGAGGCATGCCCACAGCCCAGCAGCCTACATGCCCTTTCTTGTTTACTCCTTACAAACTTTTCTACTCCTGCGTGCTTTACCAGTCCCTCCACACTGTTTTGCCTTCAAAATTCTGCTTTGCTTCTATCACCAGGATTTTTCTTGATCTCATGCAACCTGGCTTGTGGTCCCAGCCACTGAAATCCCTTCATTAACTCTGCATAACTGTATGGGCAGACCCTTGAGTACAGGGACAAAAACCATAATGCAAGAGAGCTCCCTTGCTGGCCAAGCTTATACCTATTCTCCAAACAAATCCACTGTACCAGCAGAACTATGACAATGCAACGTCATCTGTGTGCCATTTCCTGTCAGTTTAAGCACATCTGTTATGAGTGGGATTTCCTCTTCCCTGCTCCCTGCCTCCTCATCCCAACAGCCGTAACTGTAGCAATAAAAACTTTTAGACATAGGCCAAGACAACACCCAAGTCAATAAGGCAATTTTCTTTGACAAGCCTCTGAAATGCTGGTTGCTCTAAAACTTTATTTTCCCTCCTGGGGCTTCCACAGTTGCTCTTTCCCCACTGCTGCAATTTCTCCTATGATTCTTTCCTGCCACCTCCCCCTCTTGCATAACAGATGAACAGGAATTGGGTGTATTTGTCTACTGTATATTTGAAAAGAATAACACCTTTCAGTTCTGCCCTTTTTTATCATACCTTTAATCTGTTTACATTTTAAGCAAGCTAAACACAGCTCTTCCGTAGCATTTGGCTTTTGGCGAGAAAGTCTGCAACGAAGCTTTTTCCTGATTACTTGTTTACCTTTTTTGACTGCCGCCTGTACTCTTAACTATAGCACTGTGGCCTACCAGAACAAGGCATTACTTCGTCTTACTTCTGTAGGCAAGTTAGGCAAGTTTAATCCAGTACACTTTATGGGCTTGGCAGCTAGGATTGCTGCAACTGATTGAATGCTTCATGAAGCCGCCACAGGTGTACCCGCCATTTATCCACTGAGATCTCCTTCCTTGTTTAACAAAACAACATAGAAAGTACTTATCTTCTCATTGTCCTCCCTGGTGTTTATTTTCTGAGGCAGCTTCTTAAGTGTCTGCTACTAATTCACATCCCTCTTACTAGCTATTGAGCATTCTTGGCATCCTTTGGAGGCTAAAAATGCAAGAGAAGGCATACAATTATTTTGCTTGAGCACAAGGAAAGCACACGCTCTTTTCTTAGCCTTGATTACACCATTTCATTGAGTGAATGTAGGCTTTTTGGTGAATACAGAAATACACACTTTTTGTGCATTTTTTTTTCCCCAAGTGCAGTTCATATAACATTAAACTGCTTTATTCCTCTGGTGTACTTATGGGTGAGAATATTTATGTAGGTAAAATTCAGTAATCTTAGTGCACAAAGCTGAGAGGGAAGTAAAGGCCTCACCCTCCAATGTAAACAATAGGTTCCTTTATGGGGGTGAGTATTGTCCAGCCAACCTGGTACAAGATCCATTAATTTCCGCTGTGGTCTTTCTCAGTGACAAGACTAGGCTGTGGATCGGATCCTACACAGATGTATATTTTTAAAAACTGCTACAAATGGAAAATAGGTGTAGCTGCATTTTAAAATTGCTCTGCCAATCGCCACGTTTGGGTTTGTTTCAGATTCACTGTCTCAATGGAAGTGGTACCAGCCTGGGTCCCAGCAGTGGGTTTCACACTCCTGCCCCATGCAGGAGGATTTTTAGGAAGCAAGGTAACCAGAAAGGAAATCCCAGTGTGGTATGAATCTCTACAGAAGCCATCCTGGTGTCCACCAAACTGGGTGTTTGCTCCTGTTTGGGGAACTCTCTATACATCTATGGGGTATGTTTTTCATGTTGCTTATTGTATAATGCTGGACCAGAGAACTATTATTGTATTCCTGTGGCTGTGTGTTTGTAAGAAACTGTGTCAAACTGCCTGTTTAACAGGTAAAAATGTGTTTTGGGAGTTGTGTGTGGGTTTGATGGGACATTTTGTATGCACAAGTATCCACATCAAAAGTAGGAGTTTGAAAAGCTGCCATTAATTTGCTTTCCTCATTCATTCTGAGGGGAAGACCTGCTGAGCTGGCAGCAGCAGAGCACGGCAGCACTGGGATTTCTTGTGTGTCCTTCAGTAGTTTTAGGAAAATTAAAAAAAAGGAGGGGGGGGAAGCATTAGGATAGAACTGTTCTAACAGCTCAACTAAAAGAAACCAAAATCAAAACATTCATGACCTTTCAAATAAAACTGCCAGGGTGTTAAACTGTAAATGTTTGAAATCATCTACTGTCTCCTTAACTAGTTTAAAATACCTGACAGCACAGCAGTTACTGTCAAATGAACAAGGAGTCACAAGGCCAAATACCATTCCCACAGGAACCTTAAAAGTTTAATAATACTGTATTTTGGCAGCTGTTGCTTTTAATAAGATGTAGCAAAAATATTTATAGAGGGAGGTTGTCTCAGGAGATTGGGCAGTTTTGATACTCCTCAAAGACTGCTCTAGAAGCTGTCCGTGCAATGTTGCATGTCTTTGTGTTAACTCTGATGAGCTGTGCCACAGAGGAAAGAGAGCACTCTGCTCCTAGAGCCTCAACAGAGGTCAGTGCAGCCCTCAAGCATGTGTGACGCTTTCTCCCTCTGCTGCAATTGGTCATTAAGAGCTAGCTACATACCAAGATTCAGCACCTTTATTCTTAGCTATCAAATACACATTGTTGCTAACCCCAATAGTAATAGTTTTTAGGCTGCAATATGCTTTTTATGGCTTACCCCTCCTATTTCTTCCATCATATCAGTACATTTTAAGTGATCTGTAGTTTGTATGTAGTGCTAGCTTAACTATATAAAATTTTTAAAAGACCAAATCTTTTCCAAGTTAACTTGCAGGATGACTATCTAATGTTATCTTAAATACCACACCACCTGTTGCAAGATACAGCAATGATGCAATGTCTGAAACTGTACCTGAATGCTAAATTGGCGCTCTCCCATTCTCTCAGTTTGGTTTCATTTTCTTTCCAGAAAAGCTTCGTAATTTTTATAGCCTCACATACTGTCCCTCCTTTCTCATCCATATTCTCTTTTCTTTGTCCTCTTACAGAGTGTACTTTTAAAAATTGCTCTCTACTCTTGTATATTCCATGAGTTAGCATTTGAATCAGGTCATTGCTGTCCTGTGAATAACAAAAATGCCTTTTATCAAAGAGACAAGAGCTGAGTGGCTTTCCCATGAAGGGCTTCCTTCAAGTTGCCTGCACACTTTGTAATCCTTTTTCTAGATTCCTCATCATAAACCTGGATATCAAGTTAAATATTTTAAAAATCCAAATTGTGACAGGTTATCACTTTGATAAGATCAGAATCAGTGTATTCTCAAGTGGATGGTCCCAGTTATGTACTATACATGTAGCTCAGTGAAAAGATCATATTTATTACCAGGCCTTTTCTTCTGTAAGATGTGCACACACTCCTTAAATGATCAGGACATCTCATTCCTTTAGAATCTATTGAATATATTAAAAGCAAAAAATAACTAAAAGATTTAGTAAGCTTACATGCCTTTCTTGACAGTTAGCTTCCTAGCTGATCTTGGTCTGAAGTCAAAGTTAGATGTATGAACAACCGTAAGGCCACACTGTGGCTCTGTAAATCATTTAGGAAGAGATTTGGGTCCTGATACCTTTTACAAAGATAAACTGCTACATTTCTAATGCTTCCCCCCTCCCTTTTCTTTTTTTAGTAGTTTCTGCAATCAAACTGCCAAGATAATCAAAGCTGCATTGTTCAGTCCTTATGAAAGTAAAGGCCAAGAAACAAGCTTTGGTCACTAACTAGGTTAAACAGAAAAAAATCCTCCTTGTACAACCTACAAATGAAGACAAACTCCTTGCAATTACTCCAATGGATGTTTGTCAGCTAAAAAAAAAGTGCTTACAAGTTGGTCTCCATCTTTGCTCTATTGCCAGCAGACACATGCATGAGCCCCCTGCTGTCCATCACAGTGCACAGTCCAGCTGACATTCCTACTGGGATGGAATCACTATAGTTTCTAATTCTGAAACAAGGGTATGATTCCAGGTGCTGGCATTGTATCCAAGGATTCTACTGTAGTCACTTGGAACAGCTGTGCAGTCAGCCAGATTGAAATCTGGCTAATGTCTAAAGGGGGGGGGGGGAAATCAAGAGCAAAAGAAATAACCTTAGGTGATGAATGCTCCCCGTTCTGATCAGGCTTCTTCAGTGCAAAAGTAAACCTTACATTAGTAAATCTCCCAAATCCTGAGAATTCCTTTTTAGCAGCTTGGATTCTGGGATCCCTTCAGGGAACTGTTTTTCTGTGGCATTAAGAAGATTTGTTCAAAGTCTTCACAATATTTTTGGTAGATCTTTCAGTAGCCAGGATCCTGCAGACAGGAAGGGTGCTGGATGCTCTTTGTGGTTAATTCTTCCCACAGAACTCCTAAAATCTTTGTTCTCCCCATCTTCACCCCCTTCCTTCTGAAAAGGGACTATAGGGTTTCCCCTGCTCCAACACCATCCATTTATCCCCATACTCACCTGTGTTTTGGGATGCCACTTAATTCCTACTTCTATATTAATTTAATCCATTTAAAGTTAGTGGGTTGTGGGTTTTGGTTGTGGTGGTGTTTTTTTTGGTTGGTTGGTTTTGGTTTTTTTTTTTAATTTCTTGTTAAAGCACCATCTCCCAGTACCAAAATTAACAGTTTCTTCACTATTTAGAGACTTACCTTTTACTGTTGCATCTTAGACTTGCTTCCATTTGAACAATGCTTTCTCTTTTAAGACTGAAATGCAGTAGGTCATCTGTTCCTCTGCCCCTAGGAGTCAGAAGGACCTCTAGCAGGACAGGGAATTTCTCTCTCTCCATATTGCTATCTGCAGTAGGTGACCAACCCTGTGCAGTCAGTCACTCTGCCAAGTAGTACCTGGATATCTACTTTTCCAAATGAATTTAGACCCTAGCACTGAAGCAATTCCATTTGCTCAAGAAGGTGCAGTTGCTTTCTAACCCAAAGTAATGAATTACACCTTGCATTTGCTTTCTCCAGATATGGCTCCTACCTGGTATGGAAGGAATTGGGGGGCTTCAATGAAAAGTCAGTGGTTCCTCTGGGTCTGTATGCAGGGCAGCTGGCATTAAACTGGGCATGGACTCCAGTATTTTTTGGAGCTCACAAAGTGGGATGGGTAAGTAGAAAAGTAAGTTTCTTAATCATAGGCTTCTGCTGTTATTTGCAAGGCGCTAAGATAAAAGTTTTGTGTCATTCTTTTCTCCCTGAAAATGAGCCTGAGTACAGAATATGGCTCGCAGAAGTTTTCTAAAATTCTATTTAATGCATCCTAGCAGCCACTTGAGAGAATTTACATATCTACAACATCCTTCAATGTTTAGATTTCAAGAAGCTCTTTCTGCTACCCTTTGATAAGAGCTTTGTGTGACTAGAAAATATAAACATTCATGTCTCACTAGAATTCCTAGGTATCTCTGGCAAACAGCAGTGATAAGAAGCTTATCATAACATTACTCATTAATTGGCACCCATTTTAGACAAGACATTTTCTGCAGTCTGATGAGAAACAGCTTGCCTCAAAAATAAAAATCAGTAATAAAAGTAAATATTTCCCTGGTTCTCTAAATATATATGCAATGCTGTAACAGTGGAAGACTTTGCAATCCACCATTGATTCATTCATGCCACATCCCTTCAGGTGGCTTCTATGACATGAAAAGACTGGATAAGCTTACTTAGCTAAGTGACTTGCTCAAAGTCACACTGGGCTTGTAGTGAATGTGGCACTTCCTGCTACCAAAAAAAGAGGGTACGGGTGAGGGGGATTTTATTCTCCTGTAATGCCCTTTCCTGTGACTGTTGTATCATTTTATGAGACCACTCCACCCATAACTCGGCAGAAATCTATCTGGCTGGTTTTCTGAGAAGTAATTAACTCACACAGGGATCCCACAAGTGCCAGAGCTAAGTGGAAAGAGCCACACAAAGACTATCTAGTCAAGAAAATGCAACAAGTAAAACCAACACTAACCACCTTGCTGTGTTTCAGGGGTTGGTGACTCTTCTGCTTACGACTGGTACGGCAACAGCTACTACTGCTTCCTGGTATAACATCCACAAAACAGCAGCTTATTTGATGGTTCCTTATTTAGCTTGGCTAACCATGGCTTCTGCACTCAATTACCGTATCTGGAAGGACAATCGCAGCAAGAAACAACCTGAATAAAGAGTTCTCAGCGGAAAAAACATTTTTTTTCCACAAGACTTTTCTAAATAAAATTAAGGCCATAACTTTATTTTTAGCTAAACTACTTTTATGACTAGCTTGCTAATTACAAGTTGACAAAGCAGTAGTTGTTTAAAACAAATATGCCTTTACTAGGCATACAAAGGTGTATGCATGACTGGGTTTTATAGCAAACTAAAAGATAGTGCTGATTGAAAAGTACTAGTTTTCTGTATTACAGCATTATATTTTATATGCCAACAGCATTTTAACTGTTACCAGAACTCCAACTTCATTATGTTGAGAGGAAGAAATCCAGTGATACATCAACACAGCTTCCAGAAAGCTACTCCTAACAGTAACAGGCATGATTGTGGCCTGAATCTTTCATGTTTACCAGTAGACACAGTGCTTTAATGCTATGATGTGTCTCACTACAGCAGCCAGATATTTATCATCTTCTTATTGTACTCTGGAAACATTTAAGATCTATCTTGTTCACAATTTGTGCCTTCGCACTTTGAAGCATTGTACAATCTAGTGTCAGCTAAATGCATTAAACTACATGTAAACTTACTAACCTTGTTCCTCTGTTTTTATTGTTTTTAAATGGTTTTGAGAAAAAAAACCTGAAGGCAATAAAACTACTATAGCCTTAAAGATAGCCCCTTCATCTCTTCTCACCATTGCAATGGGAAAGACAAAATGGGAAATTCAGAGCACCTGGACAGAGGGCCCAAATATTCAGCAGCCCCCTGCACACACCTGAGGCATCACTGGCCAAACAGCACTAACACACTTCACCTGGACCCTCAGTGTGATGCCAGTTCACCACTACACCTTGACAGTGAAGGTGGCAGCCAGGCCACAGGTGGGTCTGTTGCCCAGCAGGGCAGTACGGTTCACCATAGCTACCACTGTCTCCTACCTGCTCCTTCTCACTTTAGCTGCTTAGAAATTGAAACAGGGTTTCTCCTCTTCAGGGTTACAGTAGCTGGCATAGTAAGATCTGGGATGCTTAGTTCAGCCAGTTGCTTCCTATAAGCTAAAACCATCTCTCTTGTCTAAGAGCAACAACAGACTATTTCTGCCCACAGCTTGTGGTCCCACTGCACAAATCTGACTACTTTTAAAAAGTCATTCTTCTGGTTTGCTAAGTGTGACATCACTTTTTCTTTTGTGATGAGGGAAACCTTCCCCTTCACTCTAGATCCACAGGCACTTTGTTACATGTTTTCAGGTACTTGGAAGGCAAAAAATGCCTTTTACCTTCCTACAAGTGACAAATGCATCTGCTGTGCAGCACTGCATGTCCCCTTCCATCCAGTTTCAGGCACGTGTTACTATATTCTGTATCACAGGCAAACATTTTCCCTGCATCAGTAGTCACACCACCTACGTTAAGCACTTCATGTTTCTTTAACCACATTTAAGTAAGGAGTTCTGACTCGTGACCATGAAACCAATACAGCTGTCAGCACCACTTCTGGCTGTGCAATCCAGCTCCACCTGTGTAGTGACTGAATTTTCATAAGACACAGATGGTTTATTCCTCCAGCCTGTGTTCCAGTCCGTAGAAAGAAGTAGGTTTCTGCAGACCAGCCTGAAATCACCTAAAATAGCCCTCTCCCTTCCTGATCATGAATTATCACATTGCATATTTGCAAAGCTTGAAGCAAGGTTTAGAACATTTATACAGTTTTACAACTATACTTCACTCTCAAGTGGATCCTGATTGCTGCAACTAGCTTAAAAAAATACCACCCACATAAAATACACTTGATGACAGCAATATTTTTGCAACTTGTACATACAAAGCAACGCAAATATAACCTAAAATTGCTAAATTTCAGCTGGTTACCCTGATTTGAGGAAGGAGGAGAGATTAGGACTGATAAATTTCAAACTGACACCCCACTCCCAAATAAGTCTATCTTAGGTCATAAACTCTGAAGTCCAAAGACTGCTTGAGGCTTCTAGCAGAGTTTCCCAGGTCCCTTTCATTCCTTCAGGCTTCTTCTGCATTTCTGTGCTGCTCTAGACATTCCATCCTTCTCACTTCCTGCCTGCCCCCTTCTCAAAAATCTACTTTCTTTAAGGGGCAAGTTAAGGATGACAGCCAGCAGTACAGGGTTCCTAAGTACTGTGGGTTTTGTTTGCCTTTTTTTAAATGAAAAAGTAGGAAGAGCCATCAAATCTTTCATCTCATTACCCTAGTAGTTCACTGGACTTAAACAACATATTATGTTCCCATAAGAACATTTTAGATCTTTGTGTAAGAGGAATAGATAAGACAGACATATACAAACTCCAACATGATTCAGTAAATTATAGTTTTAATGTTGACATGGGGAACTTACGCAATGTCTCCCAGCAAGCAAGCAATCAGGCTACCTGAGAAACAAGTCAATTGCTCCAGTTACTGTCCTATTTTGAGGTCTCCCATATTCCATAAACAAGACATTTGGTCAACACAAACTAATGATTTATAGAACTAAGCAAGACAAGGAAAATGCAGACAAAATGATTACCAATACAGTGTATGGTATATGCATATTCTTCTGATCTGGTTGTTGGTTTTTTTTTTCCTGGGTTACCAGTATAGGAAAATAGTTGCATCTGCAGCTCATAGAACTGAAATATAAATCTTGCTGTTAAGCATATCTGGGAAGGAAATTAATAGAATCAAGCCTCCTGTGGCTAGACAATGCACGTCACATGACAGCTGTCTGTTTCATCCAGAAACAGGGTGCTGAAGACATCATTAAAAAAGGTAGGGTGGTATTTGCAGGCTCTATCACAGTCAGGATTAAAGTTCACCTCCAAGATCTGAGGCTGCATAATTCTTTTCCCTGTAAAGGAGAACACAAACATTCCCTCTTAATACAAGCTCTACAGAGATCCTGAATCACTACCTGTCTTTAAGCTAGAAATTACAGGAAATGACTGGAAAAAGTCATCTCTTATGGCCCAAGCTGGCAATTTGGTAGGGTGTTTTTATTGCAGTGGGTTTGTTGTGGGTTTTTTTTTTTTCTTCTTCTTTTGAGGGTCAGTGGTCTGTTCTACCATCACTATCCAGAGGACAATTATCCAACAGATTCTGCAGTCACTGTGCTAATCCAATGCCTCATTTAGAATGAGAATTTGCAGCAATTTAATAGGATCTCCTTAATACAGCTGTCTTGCTTGACAGTCTGAAACATCTTCCAGAAAACTCTGCTTTTCCTTTCACATTTCAGTACAAACCTTCCTTTCTTAAAGCTCTTAGATATCTACCTTTCTAGTTCTAGCAGTCCTGTTCCTTTACACTACAGCCGCTCCCACCTGCCACTTCATCTCACTCTTAGAAGGAAGTCAGGAAGTTTAATTTTCTCTTAAAACTTCAACAGTACAGTTCAGAATCAAATGCATTCTGTACAAAGAGAAACAAAGGATTTTATTTCCTGTCTGGTGTTGAGATCATAAGTGAGGGTACAAGTAGGTAAACCATACTCTGCTCTGCAGAGAAGCAACTAACCTATTTGTCCACAGGCCGCCTACAGCATCTCAGCTGTGACTTTGACACCCATGCCCCCATCTTCAAAAGGCTAATGACCTGTGCAGCTCATGTTCAGCCAGGGCTGTAATATGAGGTTGGTCCTTTTACTACAATAGTTTTCCTCAAGCTAATAATAATAGTGAGTTGCTTTGCTTCTCCCATTCAAGACAACTCTCAGGTGAAAGAGCATTCAACATGGATGTAGCAGACCTAGATTTAAACTCTTGCTCTACTTGATCTGAACAGGAAAGGCTCAGTTCTACACCTTCTTTTTCTCAATCATTTCCCTCCATAAAAATGATTTGATATTTACAGAACCAGCCACTACAACAGCGGGCTAGGGACACCCACCCAACATACAACATCTAATCACTCCTCCAGCAAACCTGGGCACAAGCAAGTAATTTCTTCTGTGTCCCAGGGACTACAATGTCACAAGAAAAGAGTACACTCAGTTCTGTTTAATACTCCCCAGCAGTCCTTCTTGTGTTGGTGCCCCTGCTGCTTTTCTACCTAGAAGAGACACATCTGGGCTGAGCACACTTAACAGAACATTTTTGAGCCTCCTGCTAAGATAATAAAGAATTCACCCTGTTTGGCAAATTTTGGTACCAGTCCTCCGCAAGTGGCTGGAAGAAAGGCTCCAGGTGGTTAGTGCTGTGGCACTAACCTGAAGCAGCTTCACATACGTGCTCTTGCCAAGACTTGACAACAACTGAGTGACAGTCCTGAGGACATCAATGGTACTGAAATAGTGAACGTGGTCACTTCCTTGCTTTAATAAGTAACTGTGCATTTAAGACAGATAGCAAGATGTCTCTCTAAGGTTTTCATGGAGACAGGTATTTCAGACATTCTCTCACTGTAAATGGGAAAGCAAGCTTGCTGCTGTCAGAGTGACTAGATTGCTGTACAGTTGGGGGTTTTTTTTGTGTGGGGGATGGTAGGGTTTTGTTGTTGTTTTTTCAAACAGAGAATGGCAGTAGCAGGGACACAAGGGAAGCTAGGACTCAGCCAAGCACAGTTAACAGCTCCATCATTAGTGCTAACCAGCATGGCAGATGCTAACCCCACAGATCTGCAACTCCAGATACGCTTTGAGGTCAGCAGGAGGCACAGAGCACACAGCTCACACTGCTTGAAAAGCAGTAAGAGTTCAGACAGGAGAAATAAAGTTCTGAAAATGTCCACAAATATAAAGAATTCAACATTCAAGGAAATGAGCTTCTCACCATCTCTGCTGGTGTCCCATTTAAGCATCAAGTCAATGGCATATATTGCTCTAGATGACGGATAATCACAGATGCCAAGAGGCGCAGGTTTAGCTGAAGCAACTTGGAACAATTCAGCAAATGCCTTAAAAATACTTGCCTAATAACAGAAAAAGGTCTCAATGAGAAGTGAGATTCTATAAAAGCAATAAACATTTTTAATCACTTTATTCATGCAGCTTTTTAAAAAGTTTGTATAAATTACACTAGCCAACAGATGAAAATCTGCACAGTATTAGCTTCAAAATGTACATTTACACCTCAAGACAACACAGGGAAAGCACCGAGCACCTGGCAATATCCACGGACTTTTCTGGGGATCAAATCTGTACTATGAAAATCCTGCAAATAGGGCATTTAATATTAGAATTAACTCTCTACTCAGGCATTATGTACAATATTGCCTTTATGGGCAGAGGAGGGAAAAAGGGAAAACCCAGGAGAGTTCTGTGAACACCAACGGTACAACTGTGATGTTCTGACTTGCCTGCCTATCAAGTTGTATTCTAACTTCATTTTGCTTTGCAATGAAAAATCTTCTACCCACTTACACTCCTCTAAAAAAGGTGCTGGGGACATGGAGATTAAGAACCTACTACATTGGTATTTTGAGAAACAATCAGATGTCCAATGTGAAAGTGAAATAAACCAGAAAGAATATACAAGTGTGAATGTTAGCATTGAGTCTATACTATTCCTTCTGCAAATGAAAAGATGGTGTAATACTTCATAGTCTGCACACAGGGCAACTTTGGGTAACCTACAGTACATGTGTCCCTTTTTCACCCCTGCTAGTCTCTTGCAGACTATTTTAAACCTAATGCTGCAAAACTCATCATACTTGAGTATCATTGACTGGATAGGAGGTTCTAGTTTAAACTGATGTAAATTGTTTATGGAAGTCAACCCAAAGTTGGGTAATTTATTCACTTTTGAAAGCATATGCACACATAAATGGTCAGGTACCATTCATTCTGCATCTTCTACCCCGACAGACACGGAAGAATGCAACAATTCAGTTTTGTGCATGTTTCTGAACCATCTCTTCACATTCAGCTTTTTCTTTCAAGCATGAATTAAACAAAAAAAAAATCAGTGAGAAGGCCATCATCAGCTGCCTTGCACATTTTATGGAACTACAGTATTTGGAGCCTCCTCTTTGCAGATAAAAGATGCCCTAGTATTAGGGAACCATCTGCTTTCTTGTGAAAAGTCATTAATGCAACAACCAGGGACAGGGCTCTGGCCAGCTCACTACCACAGAGAAGCTGGGACAGCAGCTGGAAATTTTGCATTGCAGTCAAGATTTAATTTAACAAACAGGGGTTCTAACTCACTAGCTCAGAGATAGTACATTGGTGGAGGAGGGTCTTTAAGAAAAGAGAGACGACCAGCCTAACTTGTTTTCTTTTAAATATCCTAGAGTACACAACCACAGCCTCTTCACCACCCAATCTGGCAGCATAACCCTTCCAGCATAGTACACCTGGAGCAGGGGCAGTGCTTATTTCTATCAGCCACTTGGGCACAGCTGGGCACATCCTTATTTTGTGAGTGAGCACCAGTGCACTGCACAGCAAGCTAACCTGAACCGTACAGGGAAATCTTTAGACTGACAGCTCTGTTTAAAATAGATAAATCAAAACCTGTGATGCCATTCCACTGAGATTACTATATACTGTAATTTCCTGTTTATTTTCCTACTTGTTCTGACAGCTCCTTATCTGGTGAAGTCATTTGGAACAAAGGAAGCAAGAGCCCAAATACTTCAGTGGTTCAGCTTTTCAGAATCAGAGTTAATATTCTGTTGAAGAGTAGTGAAGGCTTTGAAAACAACTTTTCCAGAGTCATGTGAGCAACATCTGTAGTGATTAGCACATTTTATATTCTGGACCTCCCTGTCTTTTCTCATGAAATACTAATTCTTCACAACCATTGGCTTAGATTATTGGCAACCTTCTGCAAAAGAGATGGAACTCCCAAGAAAAAAGATCCTGCTCCCAGGATCCTGAGAGTAGTCAGGACTGGCTTTATTACTAAGTCCAATATAAGGAATTCTCATAGTGTAATCATGAAATAAAATTCTCAAATGCTAACAACAACAAAATGTTTGAGGGGGAATTACGCTAAGTTACTACATGCTTCTGAACTAAGGGTTAGCATTTGCTGTCCTTTGTGGAACTGATACACATGAAGTATGTCTTATGAATAAAAAACCCAACAAAAAACTAGCACCACTTTTGGAAAAGCTAGTTTGCTGAGTAAAAAAAGATCCATGAACATTTACAAAAGAAACATGAATTGCTGACTTACTTGTACCATTGTCCAAGGATATTCAGGATATTGTTTTTCAAACAAAGGAATAAATTCTTCACAGTGTACCTAAAACAGTTTAGCAACATCAAAGACTGTTTCGATTAGGAATGACTGAGCTATCACATGACAAAGACAACGGATCATCAAGTACTTTTTTACCAATCATACAAACCCAGGTAGAGAACTAGAGAATTAGACAGTTCCTGAATACCTTCCTTGTTCCAGTATTTCTTGTTATAAAAGATCACACTGAAGTCTTTGACAATTATTAGCTGCTGTTTTAAAAATTATTTTACTGATCTCTATCAATGTGGGTTATATTCAGGATGTAGGTTTGTATTACCTTACATAATCACAGATGATTAGGGGTCCAGAGGGGAAAAAGTCTAGGAAAATATTTGTTCAGGGTACTTTCAACACCCTGACTGCTTGTTTAAGTGGATGTGAAATAGGTTATTTAGCAACAGTCACAGAGGAGGGACTAGAAGATTTTCTAACAACAGAAAGGTGAGGGAATGTTTTGGACTGTTTTCTTACCTGTTTTAATGTTACACCGGGAGCATAATTCATGACTGTGAAATGCTTCTCATAGTCATCCAAGTCATCAAGTGAAAATGCCCTAAGGAATAAAACAATTCCTTAGTTTCCAAGGTATCAGATTTAATTCTAAGCCCCTCCACACTAATGAGGAGAATGTAATTACCGATTTGAAAAGCGCAGCCAGAATACATCATAGGTATACAGCTTGAGTGGTTTTATGGACCGCAGCAATACAACATAACGGATGTCAAATTTAACCATCCCCACATCTTCTCGGTGAAACAAGACTGGATTCTCAATATATTTGCACACTACCTATAACAAAGAAAAAAACACCCACAGTAAACATAATTCAACTGAAATGAAAACAAAGTGTCACTGGATCTTGATGACTTAAGGTGTTCTTGTACACATTTCAGTTTTTCTTTAGAAATATGCACGAATACACAGTGTTGTTAGGCATACAGGTACCTTTTATCAAACTCTTTCACATCAGGGGAAGGCAAATGGGAGGCCAGAATATACACATTTTTGAAAAATCACAAAATTAATTTTATTTATAATTTCAGTGACCTTATTTTTTTGAGCTAGAAGTGTGAAGCAATTCTTTGTGCATTTCTCTGTTCTCAAAAATACATGCAGTCCACCCACCAACAGAAATAAAGCTGAAGTGACACTCTGACATATGACCACATATTGTAGACTGACTATAAAAAGCTCCACGATTCATCTATTATTGGCAAAGATGGTACTTTGTGCCAATGAACAGAGCTGTGGATCAGCAACAACAATCAATCAGGGGACAGGAGCAATAGTGTTCCAAAATTTATGACCAATGCTAACTGTAGCTAATGTGCATTCATCTGCCAGCCTGAAAATTAGCATTAAAGAAGCAATGGACTGCAGTATTCATTACTGTCAGGGCAAGTTTTGGGTGTTTTTTTTTTTTTTTTTTTTTTAAAAAAAAAAACGACCAGGCTTGGAATTCATCACTGCAACAAATGACCAATTCAAATCTGAATCAATTCTGAATTGATTGAAACTGTATGTTTATGGCCAGCATATAAATTTTGAAGAAAATAAACCTTCCTCCTTTGTATTTTTAGACCTTCTGTGAAGGTACTTTTTTAAGCTCTCCCCTTTAAATCACATTCAAAACCATGCTCTCTAACCTTTGGGCTGCTTTCCCTATGCCTGATGATATTGTTAAGGCTGTTGGTGATGTGGGTATCCAGGCTTCTGGCCAAATTCCACGGCTTGCATATCCAGTGATTGTCCTCTCCTCTGGGAGGGGGAGAGAGAGAAAGAGAAGCCAACACCTGTAAGTATCCACCTCATTCATCTGTCTGAGCATCCACTTGCCCTGATCTATGTAGTCCCTTGAATAAATATATTCTAAAGCTGTGGGCTACAGTGCAAGAAGTAAGGATGTTTGACTGACAGCTGGGAGCAGTAAGCCCGTGTAAAGGAGAGAAAAGGCAGTGGTAGCTTTCACTGATCTTTTCAGTTAGGGTCTAGCGTGCTCTCACTATTTCCTCCTTCTGCACCTGATTCCTTCCAAAGGGTGACAGAGCACTGGAAGAGGCTGCCCAGAAAGGCTGTGGAGTTTCTTTCTCTGGAGATATTCAAAACCTGCCTGGACACTATCCTCTGCAACCTGCTCTAGGTGATTCTGCTCTAGCAGAGGGGTTGGAGTAGATGATCTCCAGAGGTCCCTTCCAACCCCTACCGTTCTGTGATTCTGTAAAAAGGAGAAAACAACCCATCAACACCGCAGCATCATCACTAACACACACAGGTCACAGTGAGGAAATCATTCTGCCAGGAGCCTGAGAACATTCTGGCAGGGTATTGTGCAATTTTCCAAGTTGATTCCCTAATAACACCTCCAAATCATTCACGTTAAATGACACCGTAACTCATCTCTTTGGGAAGAAATCACACAATATCTCAGCAGTTCATATTGCAAGAACGGTTGGACTTGATGGTCTTAAAGGTCTTTTCGAACCAAAATGATTCCATAAGATGAAAGCACACCACCACCTTCTCACTTTCTTGTACCTAGTCACATCAAGGGGCAAAATGATTTGAAACACCCTTGAGGAAAAAGGGTAACATGCTGGCCTTTCAGTGTACCCTTCTGAGTAAGAGCAGCATGACACTTGATGTCTTCCTTTCCTCAATCTAGTAAAGCATTCTGAGCATCTTCTTGAGCTTCATGATAAACAGCATCAACTGAGCTGAAGTTAGCAGTGTTAACTTAAGAGGGTGTCTTTTGTTTATTTGAAAATTTGTATCTCCTCCATTCCCTACATACACATTGCATTCACGGCCAATCCTTGATATTAAAAAGAAATTAACACACCACACAGTAGGGATACATGGTAGGAGCGCTCTCTCCTGGTTATGCCAGTCAATAACAGAAAATTTAGAGCAAAGAATGGCCAAATGAACTGCCTGGCAGGTGGCACTGCAAACAAGCCTCACTAAAGCAACCTTTCAACCAGAATACTCCATGCCAGGTGGAAGACATTATTCCACTAGTAGTACCTAATGCACTCTCTCTTACCAAAAGAAAATCTTAGTTTCCATCCACTCCAAGGCAGCTGCAACAGCAGAAAGACTGTGGATTTAAAACCCTAAAGCTCCACAACTGCTTTAGGCTAACACTAAAATTCAATTCTACTTTCACAACCTTATAGAACCCAACTACTTTAAACATTTTCCACCCTGGCTGAAGTGCAAGAACAACTGCTACTGGTCCCCTGGAAACTGCCTCCAACATTTGTTGCAAACACACTTCGATCCTTTGTATATCTGCTAAATACAAGAGGCAAGATCTTGACTAGACAAAAATCAACAGCCTTCAAATCTGTATTCAAATCATAGTGAAGTTTCTGTTTCAAAATGCATTACTTAACTACTCTTACATTAAAGAAAATACCTAAGTTTTAGTTTCCAGGTAAAATTCATTTGAACATAAAGACAGCAAGAGCAAACTCATGGTGGCATAACAGCTGCCAAGCCCAAAAATGCAGGCTAGTGGTCTTTGAAGAAAGTGGGATCAAGAAAGCACAAAATATAACGAAGTGGAAACATGAGACACCTTCTGTTGCGTTGCTGAAAGTAGCTGATGAACTGAGGCAACTCTGTTTGGAGGTTAAAAGTACGAGGCAACCATCTTGGCCCATCCGGTCCTCCAGCTCGTCTAGAGATAGATGCCAGGCAGTCTTTGACAGTCAGGAGGTTCTCACATGGGAACTGATTCAGCATTACCTCAGGCCTTTCCTCACTTAGCTTCCTACAAAACAGAGTAGTTGTTGGGTGAAGGAGGCAGGCTGGGGAGGCCTTTGGGAACAGTATTTATGGCAACAAAAGAATTTATATTATCAGGGGAACAATTGCAACCTATAATCTTTGAAGTGTGAGAAGTTGTAGAGGATGTCTGCTTCTCCCTCGTTGTCTGTGAATACAAAACGGGGATGCGTCAAGTTGTTGAGGACTTGCTGAATATCTGTGAAAACCCTAGAGGAAGAAAAAGGCATATGAAGAAAAATGTAAGTTTGGTTTCTGAAACTGATCAACTCTTGCTGGAACAGAAAAAAGCTTGGCTTCCTACCAGAATTATGCTTTACCCATACATACTGTGTGTGACAATCTCTTCTTAACCCACAGAAATGTTTTAAATTTAAGTGGGATAGACTAAAAAAAATAAATTGTGTTCTGAGACAGAAATCTCAAGGATAGTTTAGCTCCTACAACTTTCACAAAAATAGCAATTCAGAAGACAGTGACTAAGTCCCTGATAGTGAAGCACTAACATGAATTCACTATTCTACATGAAAAGTCTTGAGTGAAAAAGGCCTTGTAAATGCCTTTGTTGCTAGAAGAGCCCTAAAAATCAACCTGCTGTCATTCATAAAAACCAAAATTAATAGGAATTCTTGTCAGTCGATAATTCAGTAGCTTCAGAAGACTATCTTCAGAATTTCACACGAACAGAAACATTTCCAAACAAAACATATGAAAGTATGAACATCACTTACATGCACGAAGTACACACAACTTTGAGGTTTAATACAAATCCCCTCCCAGTCCTCTTAAAAAACCACACCAAACCCCAGCCCAAACCTGATATACATTACAGTACATAACCAATAATGAGGCAGTGTGTTGCACATCTTAGGAAATTTCCCTCTGAAAATCAGTGGCTTGGCCATCTGACATGCTACAACTAGCAGATAGCAATACAGGTTATTTTGATGATTTTAGAGTTTAACATGAGGTCACTTAATTCAGTATTTAGCATGATGACTCAAAATGCAAGACTGACATAGAAAACAGTTCTCACGGTGAGGGAACGTTTGAACAGACTAAGCAACTGCTAATTTTTTTTTACATAAGAAACCACTATATTCTTTCTCCTCTCCAGACCTATTCTTATCAGTTGTGTAACTTTTTTTCTCCTCATCTGCTACTAACCAATTGGAAGATATATTCCCGAGAGAGACTTCTCTGTAATGATGAACTGTAAAAAGCAGCCCAGTCACATGACTTAATTGTAGATGAAGAGAGTCAGCCTGGCATCCCTGTTGAAAGTAGTCACCAATCTTCCCCCACTGTTGCAACAGAGCAAAGTTAGTATTTTCACACAGCCCCACTAGCATTTCTTTCTGCAATATGTGGTTTCTTGGCTTCTCCTTGTAAGTCTGCACACTAGGGGAAGGTACAATACCAAATTTGATGTACTGGATGCAGTATAAGTTCCACCAAACTAATTTCATATACAAGCTATCCAAACATCCCACAAAGACACTAGTCCTGTGTAGCTGGATCCAAACTTAGCTAACAGATCTTAGTATCAAGAGATCTGCATAACGGACCTATTCTCCTTGTTAAATCCACTCAAATGGGAGCAGCAATAGGTTTTTTGGTTTTTTCCTTCTTGTGATTAAGCCCCTTTAGCATGGTATGGAAATATTTTGCCAACGCGTTAGACAATTTTTTGTGGCAGAGCACTGGAATGCTGGCCTTCAGGATTTCCAGCTTTTGCTCCAGGCTATGCGAGCAGTATCTAGTTTCCAGCTCAGGAAAAAGGTTAGAAGTAACACAGCCAAGTACAGAGTTTGGTACACCAATTCTCAAAAGCAATATGGTTGGTTAAAACTTGTATAATGTTATACATTTGGAGTACGGCCACGGTTAGAATTGGGCTAAGGCTGTACAATCATTTGTTTTAGTTATCTGCAAAAACAGCCCAGTTACAGTTGCTTTCTCCAAGACAGAAGTGAAACCTTGTTTCAAAATTAGTGTTACACTGGAGCTATGAAGAGTAACAGATAGGACTCCATATATGAATACCAGCGACCTTGAATGAACTTACAGGTAAAGTTCAAAAATAAGTTTTTTTCTCAGTTTTTTTTAACTGAAATTAGTGGAAGTAACTCAGCAGAGGATCTCTGGGAGTCAAAAGAGTAAGACTTCCTTCTCCTCCAGTTGCAGCTACAGTGAATACCTCTGGAACCTCTGTTTCAGCACCTGATGGTTCTCACAATTCTTCCCACTACGGTAACAATGAGGCTGAACTATAACCTAAGATGTTAAAACAGATTAATCAGTACTTAAGGCCAAAAATACAACCCCTGTGGCAAACTCCCTTACTCCAGCCAGAAAGAGGCAATAATATGAAAAATGCTGCTGTAACAAAGGCCTAAGGCCAAGGCATTTGGTCTTACCCAGCATGGAAGGACGCCAGGAGAGCCTGGCAGCATTTGATAAGATTTATTGGAGTTATTCCACATCATTCTCTTGACATCATTTAAGCAGTCAGAGGCTCACTCCCCTCCACCACCTTTTTATTCCATGTTTCTAAATACATTAGTTAGCAATACACTCCCCACTGCTGGCTGGGCACCAGCTACTTTTCTCAGTTGAGGAGTAGAGTGTTCCTTACACAAATTGAAGATTCATCTGAGAGGTAGGTCACCTCCTTTCGCACATCCAAAAATCCATTTGCCCCCAGTGGTAATTCACTTAAATGCTCTACATAAGCTCTACACCACACAGAAATACAAGTAGTGACCTGCATTCAGGCACTCCAAACAGCAGACTTAAAGATAGATTCTGGTACTTCCCCCCCCCGCCCCAATTAACTATTAAAAACAAAGAACCCTTTCCTAAAAAAAAATAATACTTCTCTTTCAAAAATTTCCCACTACAACACTTCTGCCTTTATAGATACACAGAAGATAACTATATTATAGAAGATACCGCTATCAAAGACTAATAGAAAGACTTTTGTTTTTCCCCAGTAGCTTACAGTTATACACAAGATTTCACGGAAGTGATACTCACATTAACAATAAAAAAAGCGCCTTTTTTCTTAATCTTGAAGTCTTGCTAAGAAATTCATGTGCCAGAGCACTCTGGATTATGTATCTTAAGACTTGCTTATACAATACAGAAACGCAGCACAAAAGAAATGGGAATTCAATCTATCTTTGCTAAATGCAGAAAGACTACGGAGATAAACTGGTGGAGGTTAAGATTAGAGAGAAAATAAGGCCACTCCACTTACTCCAAGTTAAGTTACACCATCCATTCTATACACAATCCTCTTACCATAAAAGTCTTGGGACAGTCAAAGGCTCAGGAAGGCAGAAAATTTAGTTTCAAGAATGAGGATGTCATAGAAACACTATATAAAAATTAACGTATTTCACTGCCAACACCTATCACTGAGTTTAGTGGTCAGATTCCCTTAGGTTCTTTAGTACATCCAGTATTAACACACACATTTGAAAAACATCAGACCTCTGCACTGAAGAACACAGACTATAAGGGCAGGCACCTGACACATACTGTGCAATTTCCCCCCGCCCCTGTCATATAGAAGTCTAGTATGGATGCTATAAATTCTGGGATAAAAGAAGATAGTATTTAGTGGAATTGTGCAAATAAGTTAAAACATATTAGATGTTATTTAATTTACTCAAAGCATTTAAAGCTAAGAAGCAGTTATGAGAATCAACTCCCAAAGCACAGAGCTGACAAGACCAATCAAAACTGAGTTGTCATCTCATAACAGCTCTTTGGGCATCTTTAAAAAAAAAAAAAAAGACTGATGTAGCTGAAGAGAAACTTGAAAGAGAAGATCAAGAGAAAACAATGATCAAGCCCAACACATGAATTTTGTCTTTGAAACATTTAGTTCTTTTATCCACCTTTTTTTCAAGCCAGCATATCAGCACAGCTGAATAGAACGATCTCCCTAAGGCAGCAGTTACTATTAATGCTACGAGACTTACTTGAACCTATAATTTTGCTATATCAGACTACATGTACTTGCTCCTCTGCTTTTCAGGATAAACATCTATTTTATCTTCCCATTCTCTTAGCTCTACTTGGAAACAAGATGACTGAGAATTTGTCCCAGGTTCCAAACCTTGTAACCTCATGCTATTAATTTCTTCTGAATCCCCTAAAACAGTGGCAATGTCTACCCAGCTTTACACATTCCCATCTGCCTGCCCATGGTGACATCCTTAAAACCTTTAAAGCTTTGAAAGAGGCCAAGAGCACTGGAAGACTGCAACTCCCACTAGGCCATCTGGACTCTGAAATGCTACCCTGCTCCTGAAGGAACTTTGGTAGATGAAATTCAAAACACTAGAAGGACCTTCTGGCCTCCTGTGGAGGCTAAGCTGCTCTCCTTTCTCCTCTCCAGAAAAGAGCTCAATAAAGACGACAACAGGAAAACCCTTAGGAGTACATGGACAGGGTGTTGATGACATTCCTTAGAAGCAGAGCAGGAAGGATTTGGCATGTGTTTCCCTTCTTCCCTCCCCACCTCCCTGATGTGAATGCCATTCACCTGAAATATGAGATGCAAAATAAAGAAGTAGCAATGAAAAGCCAGTCGACATTTCCCAACATCCTCACTGCTTCTTTCCATTTCTATTAGAAGCATCTACCTTTGACTCCCTTATCTGAAATAGAAGCAAGTACACTGGATGAAAAAATAGCTTTTTCTTATCCTCACACCCTTGTAACCAGAGATTTCAACTGCATAATGAAATCTAGACTATCACTGAGCAAGTTAACAAATGCCTCTCAACTCAAAGTTGACTTTGATTGTCAATAGTTCTTAAGTAAAGTTGATCTAGTGAATAACAAATCCCCTCAAAACAAGAAGCTGGGGTGTGGGTATACCTACCAAATATGTTTTAGCCTAACCTCATCCCTTAAGCAAATCATTGCAAGCAAGAACTCGAATCCCAGTGTCAGACTACAAACACCCTGGAGTGCAACTCACAGCAATGCTACATAATATTGTTTTTCTGGAATAAAACTAGTAATAAGGCAGTCTAGCCATGCAATGCCACTGCTTTTGCTCACAAAAATCCCTTATCTTTGCACTGTTCTTCCAGCTTTCTTCTGGAATGGTTTCACACCATACACTCCATTTTTGTAGTAAGGCACATATCGAATTTAAAACACCCGAAGTTTTGACAAGATTCCTCTTTGGCAATCTCATCTGAAGAAGGGGAATAGTCTGTTACATTCACACAGCACAGAGAAGCACGTGTACCCCTACAGACGTGCACAGCACAACGCAGAAGTCTTTAGTCTTTCTTGTATACATTATACTCCTTAGCGAAAACAGTGTTACAACATTACACAACTTTTCTGTGACCTAGAAGGTGGCACTTATTAAAAAAAATAATCTAAATTTATTTTTAGAAATTCTGTAAACAACAATCCATTTACTCTGAAGAATCCAACAAGAACAACTAGTAAGTCAGAATCTTAAGCAAGTGGCCGCATATAAACACACCTTCAACTTGCCTCTGTTGTTCAAAGCTGGAAAAGGGTGTTCAGCCTCAGCACACTGCAATTATTATACTTAATCTTGGTAAGAAAGCATTTTGTTTGCAGATACGTACTTGAAAACTTTGTCTTTGTCATAAACTGGTGGGTTTATTGCTATAGGCAGTTTTTCCTTGTTTTCTGCTAAAATAGCCTAAAAAAAACCCACAAAAAGTTAATACTAGGCAGAATAAATGAACAGCCATAGGTAAAACTCCACAATATTGAGCAGATATGAACAACAGCTTAGCTCAGACCGAATTTTAAAATGTGCATAATCAGGTTTCTTAGGAGAAACAGGAAATTCCTGTTTCTTCTAAGCATTAAACAAAATATTAAGTCACAGATGATCATATACATTAAAAGAAAAAGTTACAGTATTTCCAACAAAATAGAAGATTGACCATTTAGTTATGATGATTTATTATAGATAATTAAAGAAATTATAGGAGGCTGGAACCTAATACTGTGAAAATGAGCAAAATGCTTTTTGCAGTCTTCAGCAGTAAACATGCTTGAAAAATCTCACTTCATCTTTTACAACACCTCTGACTGATAAAGGAAAATACACATTTGGATCATTGCTGATACCCTGCCAAAGGAAGTAGCTCACAAACTCTGGGATGAGAGAAGTGCATCTTGAGAAACCAAAGTAGCTGCTGTTCTGCAACAGCTCCCTGAGTTTCAGCTGCTGCAGGCTGTCCTCATAACCTGTAGTGGTGCAAAGTCTGCCCAGCCAAAGACATATCTCTTCACCTTTAAGGCTGTTATAGGGAATACAATCATACATAACTGGTAAGTGTAAACAAAACCACAAGCATAATCAAGAATCTTAGACATCACCTTCTAAAATAGATTGGACAATACAAAATACTCCTGCAGTCACCTAAGAAAGGGAGCCTGTACTTTTAAGAGGAGAAGACTACAATTCTCAAAGGAGTTACCAAAACATTCATTATTGTCTTTTCTGCAACTCCAACACAGGGAGCTGTTGCAGAACAGCAATTACTCTACTTCTTCCATCCCAGATACTTCATTAGAAGCTGACTCCCCTGACACTGGTTTCTGCAATCATTGCCCAATCATTACCCATAGTACCATTTAAGTTACAGCCTTTGTAGTCTGTGTTGGAGACCAGAATTAGGTAACAGAACAAAAACCAGGTAAAAGTTAAGCCACAATGTTGCTGTAACAACTCTGTGATTCTTTTAAGTAGAACACTAAAGTCTTCAGGTTTATTTAAAGGAAAATTAGAATAAGAAATATAACATCCTTATCTATAGTAAAAAACAATAACACAGCCCATTTAACAACACGATTACTTGCACATCATAGTAAAGCAGTTGCAGAAATTGTACAGTGATAGCAGCAAATGATTTTGAAACAGTATGACTTGCATAAACATTTAGAAAAATTTTCACACAATTGTATTTCCCTGCAGAACTGCTAGCTCACATATTAATGCTATAAACAGATCTCTGAAGTTGTACTTTTTTGCACATGCAGCTCTGTTTATGTGAAAATAGGGGAACTGGAAGTGTCAACAACATGGTATCTCTTTGTAGCCATCTCACTTTTGGTGTTTAAGGATGTGCTACGCCCTAAGCTATTCTTCACTAGTCTGTCACCAGTTAAGACTTTAATCCACAGCTAAACGTTCTAGAGTAAAAGAAAGCTCTGCTGGCTAGGTCTAGCATCAATATTTTGCTGTCATCTCTTATCAATAGCTGAGTGGCATAAACACAGTAAAGGAAAAAAATGATACTTTGAGAAGACATTTTTAAGGTGGGGTGGTAAAGGAGGATACTGCTTGTCCAATCACAGTTCTTTAATTTGACCTGATCATCCCAAAACAGAATTTAAACACATGCAAAAAACCCTGTCTTATCTGAGATCCAGGCACTTTTGCCAAGAGAATACCTGTAAGACATGAACTATGGGTGCATTGCTGTTCCTCATCTATAAATGCAAAGTACATCTATCCTTCTTCTGAAAACACAAAATCCCAACCAACCAATCTACCTTAGGTTACAAGACAGTCTACCTATTTTGAGTGTATATTTTTATTTGGCAGAAGGAGGTTAACTTCGTTTCTGACTAGATACTGTTAATCACAAGCTGGATCTAGCACTTTCTATCTATCCTCTATCATAGAATCAAAGAATGGTTTAGGGTTGGAAGGGACCTCAAA